TCCAGCTAGGGGTGAATCATGAACCATCTTAAGTAATTTATTCCTAAGAATGGGAGGAATATAAATTCTATTTTTAAAATAAAATATACCATCCTTTTTTGTTAGTATAGGTGTTTTGGGAAGTTCAAGATCCTTCTGATTCAAATTCTTTATGTCATCATGAAGAGAAGAGAGGATCCCTATTATTTTGTTAGGAGGATAATCATCAGTAGTAGTTTTAGAAGGAATTCGAGAAAGAGCGTCAGCCTTTTTATTTCTAGTTCCAGGTCTGTATATTAATTGGAAGTTAAATCGGTTAAAAAATAGGTTCCATCTAACTTGTCTAGCTGTAAGGGTTTTGTTAGTATAGAGATATTCAAGATTTTTATGGTCAGTATAAACTATTATAGGTTGTTTTGTATCTTCCAGAAGATGACGCCAATTTTCGAAGGCAGCTTTAACACTTAATAATTCTTTTTCACCAATAGGATAATTTTTTTCAGCAGAGCTCAAGGATCTTGAAAAAAAGGCAACTGGATGAAGTGGATCTTGTGGAGTCTTTTGTTGAGAAAGAACTGCTCCGATGGCTGCATCTGATGCATCAACTTCAAGAACATATAAGAATGTTGGATTAGGTAGTTGTAGAATAGGTGCAGTTGTAAATCTTTTTTTTAATTCGTCGAAGGCTGTTTGTGCATCTTTATTCCAATTGAAAGGACGTTTACTACTGTTGAGGAGGTTAAGAGGATGTGATACATCCGAATAGTTTCTAATAAATTTTCTATAGAAGTTTGCAAATCCAAGAAAACGTTGTAATTCTTTTGTAGTAGTAGGAGCAGGCCAATCAATAATACATTTGATTTTGGAATTATCCATCTTCAAAGAATGAGGTGAAATAATGTATCCTAGAAAAGAGAATTCAGTAACCTCAAAAAGGCATTTTTCTGGTTTAGCGTATAATTTATGAGTTCTCAGTCTAGATAGAACCCATCTAACATGCTTCCTATGTTCATCCAAATTGTTAGAATATATTAAGATATCATCTAAGTAGATAATAACACATATATCCAGAAGATCTCTAAAGATATCATTTATAAAATGTTGAAATGTTGCAGGGGCATTACAGAGCCCAAAAGGCATCACTAGATATTCGTAGAGACCATATCTTGTCCGGAAGGCGGTTTTCCATTCATCATCCTGTTTTATTCTAATGAGGTTATATGCGCCTCGAAGGTCGAGTTTAGTGAATATAGTTGCAGTTCTTAACCTTTCAATTAATTCATTTATTAGTGGAAGAGGATAACGATTTTTAATAGTTATTTTATTTAAGGCTCTGTAATCTATAATAGGACGGATGGTTTGGTCTTTATTCTTCACAAAGAAAATACTAGAAGCAGCTGGGGAGGTCGAGGGTCTGATGAACCCTTTGCGTAAATTTTCATTAAGATATTCTTTTAAAATTTCTAACTCCTTTTCAGAGAGTGGATAAATATGACCATAAGGAATAGGAGCTCCGGGTATGAGATCTATTGGGCAATCATATACCCGATGAAGAGGAAGTGTTTCCGCTTCTTTTTTACAAAAGACATCTGCAAAATCGGAGTAGAATGGAGGTATTACTGGTTCTACAGTAGTTTGGAGAATAGGAATGTGTTGTAAGCACGTTTTTTTACAGAAATCAGAAGCAAAGGAGATGGAGAAGGGAGACCACTTAATTAAAGGATCATGGGTTTTTAACCAATTAATTCCTAGAATGACGGGATAAAGTGGAGATTTAATAATATCAAATGTAATGAATTCGAAATGTACGTTGTTGGTAATCATTCTTAGAGGGATTGTCTCATCTTTGATGGGTCCTGAGGATATAAATGAACCGTCAATAACTCTGATTGGAATAAAGTTAGTTTTTTGAACACAAGGAATTTTATTTTTTGAAACAAAAGAAAAATCAAGAAAAGTTCCATTAGCACCAGAATCAATGATGGCCTCAGTCACGATTCTTTTTGTATCCCACTGTAATATGAGAGATATAGAAAAATAAGTAGATGCTTTTCTTTTTTGAAAAACGTTCAATATAGAGGTAGATGAATGAAGCTTACCACCTTTTGAATGTTTCAGTAGAGGACATTCGGAAATTAGATGTTCGTTCGAAGCACAATACATACATAAGTTTAGTTGTCTCCTTCTTATTCTTTCTTCAGAAGTAAGAGGACTTTTTATTATACCTACTTCCATAGGTTCAGTTTGTGGAGGAATTTTTTCAGGTAGTTTTAGAGTAGTGAAAGGTTTTCTCCAGGTAGAATTAGTAAGAACCCTTTCAGCTTTTCTTTCTCTTAGACGTCTATCAATACTGATGGACAGTTGAATCAATGCATTTAAGGTAGGAGGAAGTTCTGTACGAGAGAGTTCATCTTTCACAGCTTCAGATAATCCGAGACGGAATTGATTGCGTAAAGTAATGTCATTCCATTGGGTTTCTGTAGCCCATCTTTTGAATTCTGCAATATAATCTTCAACAGGTCTATTCTTTTGGTGTAATGTTCTGATGGTTAAATCAGCAGTAGTTTGTTTAAAAGGATCTTCATATAATAAAGACATAGCTTCAAAGAACTCATCCAATGAATCTAATATGGGATCATCATTTTCCAAAAAGGAATGGGCCCAGGCCATAGGTTCACCTCTTAAAAAAGAGATCACTGAACAGACTTTGGATCTTTCGGTGGAATAAGATCTAGGTTTTAAAGCTATTAGTAGTTTGCAAGAATTCAAAAACTCTCTGTACTTTGTTCTATCTCCATAAAATTTTTCTGGATTACAGACAGCAGGATCACCAGCCGATTGAAGAGCGGCATGAGGAAGATGACCTTGAATGTCTCTAACATAGGTTAATATTCTCTCATTTGTAAATTGCAGTTCCTGTAACCCTTGAGCAATCGTATCCACTCTATTGGTTAGGGCAGAAACTTGAGAGTTGATATCTGCTGGTTCCATTGAATAGGGCTGGATTATTCTGTAATATTTATTTTGTAATACTTCTTTAATTGGAACTCAACTGCAGAATTTCCTGGTTGCAGCAACAATAAGTTTCACCTCCTTTTATATTGATATGAAACAATGGTCACTGTACCTTTAAATACACATGAAGGAAAAATTAGGCTTTGTAGCAATCCCTTATGAATAAGAGGAATAATTAGACAAAGTGACACTTTAGTGAGTTTTAGATACTGTGTAACATAAATAATAGGAATTGGCTTGTTTGGTAAAAGTATTACTTAACTTAAAGGCAGTTCTGGCACTGGAAGGGTTAATTCACCCAATGAAGGAGAAATTAGAAGTCCGTTTCAACAAGCTGAGAACTAGGAGTGGAGAGTGGGGAAGTCCGTTTTAACAAGCCGAGGTCTGGGAGTGGAGAAGGTAGAATTCAGAGTTACAAGCCGAGGTCTAGGAGTGGAGAAGGTAGAAATCCGTTTACAAGCCGAGGTCGAGAAGTGGAGAAGGTAGAAATCCGTTTACAAGCCGAGGTCGAGAAGTGGAGAAGGTAGAAATCCGTTTTACTAGCCGAGGTCTAGAAGTGGAGCAGGTAGGATCAAAAGTAGAGCAGCTGATCTTTCTGCAGCACCTGTGCGAATAATCCAGCCCTTTGAATCTGGCGCGGTCTTCCTAAGTATCGTGGAGGGACCGCGTCAGAAAAAAGGGCGGGGCTGAGCGCCGTGAACCCGGAAGTGGGTTCCGGCGACGAAATACATGCCATGCTATACCTGACAATATTTGAGTAAGTATCCTCCAAGGGCAGATCTCCTGATCTGTGTTTAGAAGACAAAACTGGGAAAATTCCACTGCAGCGGTCCTAAGTGTCAAATACACTGTTTTTGTACAGTTTGTCTTGTGTAAGGAAGTAATTAACCCTTACAAGTTTTAAGATGGGTAGCTCTGAAAGTACCCAAGGGGGATTTATGGCTTTGACTATTGTCAAGCATCACAAAGGACAAGGAGCAATTAAGAATGTTAAGAGGTTACTTAAGAAAGCTGGCATGCCCTCAGAAGGTACTCTAGACCCACATATATGGAGAGAATTTATGGCAAATTACAGAGGTTGGTTAGAAGATAATGACTTAGTAGAAGTCGCACAAAAATGGCATGATACTGCTGTTGAATTAACTAAATGTGGTTGTAGAGAAACCACCAGGAAAGGTGTACCATATTATCAATGTTTTGGACCACTAGGGTCCCAGAGTAGGCAAGATCCTGGGAAAAATCTTGTAAACCCACCCTTTTACCAGGATACTGCAGGGACTCCTTTGGTCCCAAAAGACAAGGCGATTTCCCTTTTACAGAGATCAAAACCTCTCTTTCCTGTAATATTACGCAGTGGGACTTCATATGGTATCCCAGTAAGACCTATGGGTTCATTAGAGCAGGAAGGTAGTCCAGACTTAAAGGAACCCCTAGTTTCCCCCACAGATACTCCAGTGGGGCCATTAGCTCCACAATTTCCTACTCCCATGATACCCAAAGTTGAGAGTGTATACCATGAGCACAGACAGCCGAGCTCAGGTATCCAATACTGGGAAGAATATAAGCCCTGGACACCCAGTGAATAACTGGCAATAATACAGCAGCTGCCAGATGTTGAAAAGGCCCCCTTAGCTCTAGTCGAGTCTCTATCCACAATTCAAGCTACTTACCAGTGTACTTGGATGGATTTAAAACAGATTGTGGCACTAAAAGCTGGCCTCATTTTGGCTAGAATAATTGCTAAATATACAGATGGCCATGAAGATAACCTCAGAAAAAGCAACATGCAAACAGATGAATGGTTTAGAACCAAGTCTGCATCTGGAGCATGCTATGTCACTGCAATGAGAGAATGGGCTAAGGTAAAGACAGAAGAACTAGCCCATAAATTAGGAGATATACTACAAGGGAAAGATGAATCTGTAGAAACATTCTTCACCAGATTACAAATGGCTTGGGAAGCATTGGGTTACACTGATGTTATAACCACTTCCACCAGACTGCTTATTAACTGCTTCATGGATGGTATCCACATACCCATAAGGACTGGTCTCCAAAATGCTAGACCTGAGTGGAGAAGTTTAACCTATGGTGATCTGGTGAAGGTGGCTAGGGGAGTGGAAGCTAATCTAAATACTAGAAAGAGGAGCACACCTCTAATGGCTGTAACTGTCCCTAGAGCTGGTGGGGACAGAAGGCAGGTAGACTGCTGGAATTGTGGCAGGAAAGGACACATTAAACGTAATTGCAAGTGTCCTCCTAATGATAACTCCCATGACAGCCAACCACCACCACCACCACCTCCCCCCCCCAATAGGAAATTGGCAAACCAGTGTCCCTACATATCATCAATATCCCTGACTCTGCAGGACCCTCACCCATTATCAATGTTACACTGCCTGGGGACAGAATAGTCCCTTTCCTGTTGGACACTGGCGCTGCTAAATCAATGTTACAGGAAAAATATGTATTCCCGTATGAGAAATCTAATGATGTATTATCATGTGTAGGGGTAGATGGTATCGAAAATGACATTCCCCTGACCCACAAGTTGAAATTGAAGCTACATGACTCTACTGCCCTTGTAACAAAGCTACTTGTCAGCCCTCATGCCCCTGCTAATCTACTAGGCAGTGATATACTGTCTGCTCTTAGTGCAACTATCCAGTATAGCCCCACTGGAAAAGTAACATTGTCTGTGCCTTTAGAGGACAAACAAATGATATCTCTTTCAAATGTTCTGGCAACTCTCACTATGCCCAGCCATGTGCCAGAACCTACCATTGACTTGTCCTCAGTCCCTGATTCCTTATGGGCTACAGGGAAGACAGATACAGGCAGACTCTCTGTGCCCCCAGTCAAAGTGAATCTCCTGCCCGGAGCCAAACCTCCCTATCAAAAACAATACCCCCTAAGCCCAGCACAGGAAGATACTATTTCTCAATCTGTGCAAGAGTTTCTGCAGGCAGGGGTAGTTGTCCAGACCACCTCCCCTTGTAACACACCATTGTACCCAATTAAGAAAAAGCAAGAGAAAGGGAAACCTGTGGTCTACCGTATGGTACATGATTTGAGGGCAATTAATGCTGTAACTGAACTCATTGCCCCTAATGTTCCAAACCCACACACCTTGTTGGCACAAATACCACCTTCCTCTAAGGTATTTACTGTTATTGACTTGGCAAATGCATTTTTCAGTGTGCCCCTGGCTCCCGACAGTCAGTTTTTATTTGCATTTACACATAAACACAAGCAGTACACTTGGACAGTATTGCCACAGGGTGCACAAAACTCACCCACTATGTACAGCATGGCTATGACCCAGATTCTTGAAGAACGGCAAAGGCCAAATAACGTAATTTTATTGCAGTATATCGATGACCTACTCCTATGTTGCGATAATATGGAATCTTGTATTGTAAATACTCTTTCCTTACTAAAATTCCTAGAAAAAGCAGGCTCTAAAGCAACAAAAACGAAACTGCAAGCATGTGTAGAGAAAGTTATTTTCCTAGGACATTGCATTTCCCAGGGCATAAAACATCTCACGGAAAGTAGAAAAACTGCAGTTCAAAATATTAGACCCCCCCGCAGTTTAGCCCAGGTTTGTACTTTCCTCGGTTTGATTTCTTACTGCCGCCCTTGGCTGCATTCCGTAGCTATCTACATGCAACCACTGTATGATTGTCTTGCCAACGAAACAAACCATTTAAATTAACCCATGCGGCAGAAAATGCCTTCTATACCCTTAAGTTACTGATAACATCAGCTCCGGCACTGGGTCTCCCAGATTACAGAAATAATTTTAACCTGTTCTGTACTGAGCAATCAGGTTATGCTACATCTGTCCTTACACAGGATCATGGTTGTTAACAAAGACCAATAGCATACTACTCCACCAGATTAGACCCTGTTGCCAGGGGTGCCCCCTCATGTGTTAGGGCAGTGGCGGCTGTTACTGCCCTCCTGGACAAAGCCACTGATATTGTTTTAGATAATCCTGTGGCCATATACACACCACATGATATCAACAGCATACTCTCACAAGTTCAACCAAAACACATACATACTGCAAGGCATCTCAGAATGCAATGTGCCTTGCTTATGCCACCTAATGTTACTCTTAAAAGGTGTATGGTGTTAAATCCATCTACATTGCTTCCCCTGGATTTAAAAGAGGGGAGTGGGGATAGTGTGAATGGTTGTACTTCTGATCTTTTTGTAAATTCACTTTCACCAGATGAGTTAGCTGATGCCCAGGTACCCCATGATTGTGCAGCACTAATGTCACAAGAGACAGCAGGTTTTTTGCATGTATTTGATTCTCCATTATCTAATGCAGATTTTGAGTTTTTTGTAGATGGTTCCAGATATGCTGATGAGAAGGGTAATTTCCACACTGGATATGCTGTAGTCTCTGCACATGAGGTAATAAAAGCTGAACCACTCGCTCCTCACTGCTCTGCACAGGAGGCAGAGCTGAAGGCACTCGCTGAAGCGTGTAAAATGGCTTCTGGTAAGACTGCTAATATTTATACAGACTCTTGCTATGCTTTTGATATAGCCCATGATTTTGGCCCTATATGGCGGGCTCGTGATTTTCTCACCTCAGCAGGAACTCCAATCAAGAATTCTGAAGCCGTGAGTGCACTTATGGACGCTATCCTGCTACCAACTCAAGTAGGCATCATCAAGGTGGCAGCTCACGTGAAGATCACAGATGAAATCTCAAGAGGAAACCACAAAGCAGACGAAGCTGCCAAGCAAGCAGCAATCCAAGTTCATCCTTCTACAGGTAATACCTTCCTACAAGTTGTTCTTACAGATAACGCCGTTGACTACAATATACTGTTGAGCTTACAAAGAGAGGCAAGCAAGGAAGAACATGACCTCTGGAGGAAACAAGATGCAGAACCTGATGATGACAGAATGTGGAGGAAAGGTAAAAGACTGTGTTTACCACGAGTGTTGTACCCCATGATGGCCCAGATTGCCCATGGACCTACACATCTATCCAAGATGCACATGAACAGCATAGTAAACACCCATTGGGTAGCACCCGGATTTACTGTTGTAGCAGCTAAACACACCCAAGCTTGCATGATTTGTGCTAGAAACAATCCAGAACAAGCTGTGAAAACACCAAGTAAGCACACACCAAGGCCACTTTACCCGTTTCAAAGACTGCAGATAGACTATGTTCAACTACCTAAGGTAGGAGTGTATGAATATGTGTTGGTGTGCATTGATCTCTTTTCAGGTTGGCATGAGGCCTACCCAGTGTCGAAAGCCACAACGAAGGTCACAGCAAGTAAGCTTCTGAAGGAACTGGTATGTAGATATGGAGTACCTGAAGTGATTGAAAGTGACAGAGGTAGCCATTTCACTGGGGAAATAATGCAAGAAATTATGAAAGCCTTAGGGATCAGTCAGGCCTTCCACACCCCCTATCACCCCCAGAGTAGTGGGAAAGTAGAAAGGGCAAATGTCACCTTAAAGAACAAGATTGCAAAAGCCATGCAAGAAACAGGGAAGCCCTGGACTGAATGCCTTCCCCTAGCACTCTTTTCTATGAGATTCACCCCCAATTCCAGACATGGCTTATCCCCTTTTGAGATCCTGTTTGGATGTGCCCCAAAGACAGGCCTCTATTTTCCCCAAACACTACAGATGCAGCATGGTAGTATGACTGCCTATGTTCAGGCCCTACACCAAAGATTAGGCAGGGTGCATAAACAAGTGTTTGATTCTATTCCAGATCCAGACTTTGATTCTGCAACTCACAAACTGCAACCTGGTGATTGGGTGGTGATAAAGAGGCATGTGAGGAAAGGACTTGAACCACGCTTTGACGGTCCATTCCAAGTGCTCTTGACTACGGCTACCTCAGTGAAACTAGAAGGAAAAGCCACGTGGATACCCGCCAGTCACTGTAAACAAGTCACTCCGACTGATCCACCAACATGAAGCTGTTCTTATCCTTTACAATTTTATGCTGTGTTCGGATATGCTACTCTGACTTGAGACCAGAAAATAATAATGCATGGCAGGAAAATATATGGTTGCAGATAGCAAAGGCTTTTAATTTAACTTCCTTTTGCCTCAACCCTCTCCTCAGTACCGAATACTCTGCCCTAGCGTACACCTTGGTAGGAGTCCCAGGCTTAGCATTGTATAATACCCGAGTAGTAAATGCTGTAGCCTGTTCCCTTGCAAAAGGTTTAAATGTCACTTCACAGGCCCTAGAAGAGCTACTTATGGACAGCCAGGCAAATAAGAAGGCAATCCTTGAGAATAGAGCAGCCATTGACTACTTACTAATGAAACATGACTTAGGCTGTGAAGCTATAGAAGGTATGTGCTGTTTTAACCTATCTGACCATGGCACTATGATCCATAAACATATAAAAGATTTACATGACTTAGTACAGGATATCAAACAGGATACTGGCTTCTTTGAGGATTGGGATTGGACATTTGGGCTAGGAACATGGTTGACTTTACTAATTAAGAAGATTTTGTACTTTTTGCTGTTAGCTATATTTGTGATTATGATTTTTTTCATGTCTACTAACCTCTCTGTGTAAAAGCAAACCTACTATTGGTCGTACCTTAACTTACATTCCAGCTCCGACTTCGAAAAAGGTTTTATGATGTTACCTCGCCTAACAAATGAAGGAACTCTCCTCTGCTGATTCTGGTGGTCTCTCAGTCCAAGGGAACCGTGGTGAAGCAATAAATGAAAGTCCCACAGGCTTTGGCTAGCAGGCCTGGATATACCTTGGACATTTGGGGGACCCTTGGATCAAAAGAGGGGATTGTGATAGAATTTATCTTGATTCCAAGGCTCAAGCTTATAGGTGTCATATAATGATATCCTATATTAAAATTGGCTAACTTGGACTCAGGAAATGCTTGATGCTTAAACAACACTTAAGACCATATATGTCAAAGTTCCGGGAGCAGAGAGCCCCCACCTAAGATGTCTCTGCTCTAATCATTTTGTTCTCTCTTACCTTGAAAACTTATTTGTTATGTGTACACGATGCTCATCCCTATGTCTTATCTGTATTCTCTTCCTATTACTGTTCTAAGAGTATTTGCACGTAAGCACTTACTTTTTAATGTATAAAACCCAGCTGATGAATAAAACGTCAGAGGCTTATTTTGAATACCAACAGGTGTCTGGTGTCTAATTCTCGCTTCTCCAAGTGCACTTGTAACAACAATTTGGGCTTCCTCTGAATATAACAAAGATCAACATTTCTGATCCACAACAATGTGTAACGGGCTGTTGAGCTCTTAACAGGTCAATTTCGTGCCCACTCCTCTCCCGGATATCTGCTTGGCATAGAGGAACAGCCGCTCAATCAGCTCCACCGATGTCTCTGGGTAGAAGGCCAGTCTCCTCTGTACGATGCGGGCAACCTCGTCCTCTTCACTGTCTGGCCTCTGGGTCTCTGTTACATCCATGGACCGATCCATCTCGTCCAGCTCTAGCAGGTCTGCGATCAGCTCCCTCCGTGGTCTGTTACTGGCACTCCTTCCTCGGTTCTCCAGTAGATCCTTTAGGGTAGGCCTCTTCAATTTGGCGTATTGAGACTCCATCCAGCATCTGCGCTGTGGATGAAAGGACCATCCCACCGCTGCCACCAATGTAACGGCTACCCTGGTGTAGTGAGGGTACCAGCCTTTGGGGACGTCCTTTTCTTCCCGGCAGTCGCTGTGTAGTGATGGAGGCACCTATTCCCTTCTGCTGGATCAGGAGTGGAAGCCAGGTACAGCTCTGAAAAGAGCTAAGTAATTAAGCTGCAGGGATTCCCATTTCAAGAACGAGACAAGGCTACGTTTTGAAGGGTCAAGAAGAACTAAGGATTTATTGACAGACACTCTCCTTTTATGCAATTCTGCCCATGCAAGGGAGACACCCACATAATTAGTAGTACAACCAATCCATACAATATACATTCTGTAAATCCCCTCCCCTCAGATAACTACATAACATAATTAAAAAGGAACATATTTTCCCCAAAGTTCGGATGTACCCCAAATACTTTTAGGGTACCAACATATTTAAAAATCAGCTCAATCGGTTCAGCCGTTCGGGATATATGGGACTTAGAAGTTTTGACCGACCGCACGGGCACAGTAGCCGAAAACAGTTCCTTGAATGCTGGCCCAGCAGTCGGTCTAAGAACGTGGATAAAAACTCCTGAACGGCTGGCCATCCGTATGCCATCCTGGGTTCGCTGAAATCCCCATCTGCTGCTGATTCTTTCTACTGAACGCCCAGTCGTTCGGTAGTTTTGGCAAGGTTTTCCCGAAGGTATGGAGGTCTCAGCGGTTCGGGAGTTAAAATGGCCGCGAACATGTGGAAGTCTCGAAATGGTGGCTGAGCTTACAGTTCCCATAGCGTTCATGCGGTTGTTTCGAATAAAAGTGCCCATCAAGCAGGGAGGTTAATTGGACATAATGAACAGTCAGGGTGGCCTGTTAAAGGCAGGTAAGCATTCGCATGGAGAATGCTTACAAAATACCGAACGGCTTTATAATCCATATGTCTTTTACAGTCAGACTGTGCTTTTTGTTACAATTGTATCTTTTAGCAGAATAATTATGGGATACAAGAAGCTAGGAAATGATTTGAAAGGGATCAATCTATGCACTCCATTACCAAAGTAAAATCAGCCAGCTAGAATAACTGTGAACAGGGCCGTCTTTAACGCGGGGCAAACGGGGCAGCTGCCCCGGGCCCAGTTTCTCTTGGGGGGCCCGAGGCACCTGCCCCGTGGGCCCCGCTGACCCTGGCGGGCGGGTGGCCAGGTCGGCAGGAAGGCGGGCGCGCGAGGGAGCACTCAGTGCTTCCTCTTCAGCTCCCTCGCGCACCGCTCTGATGCCGGAGCCGGAAGATGACGTCATCTTCCGGCGCCGGCATCCCTACGCGGCGCGCAAGGGAGCTGAAGAGGAAGCACTGAGTGCTCCCTCGCGCGCCCGCCTTCCTGCCCGACCGGCCGGCCACCCAGGAGCCCAGCAGCACCACTGGACCCCAGGGAATCCCCCCAGCACTCCAAAAGGTAAGGAGGCTGGGGGGATTACATTTTAAAAAACAAATGTGTGTGTTAGTGTGTGTGTGTTTGTGTGTTAGTGTATGTGTGTGTTAGTGTGTGTGTTTGTGTGTTAGTGTATGTGTTTGTGTGTGTTTGTTTGTATGTGTGTGTTAGTGTTTGTGTGTTAGTGTATGTGTGTGTTAGTGTTTGTGTGTTAGTGTATGTGTGTGTGTGTGTTTGTGTTAGTGTGTGTGTTTATGTGTGTTAGTGTGTGTGTTAGTGTGTGTGTGTTAATGTGTGTGTTTGTGTATATGTGTTAGTGTGTGTATGTGTGTGTATGTGTGTTAGTGTATGTGTGTATGTGTGTGTGTGTCAGCATGTCTGTGTGTGTGTCAGTATGTCTGTCTGTCTGTGTGTCAGTATATATGTGTGTATATCTGTGTGTGTCAGTATGTGTATGTGTCAGTATGTCTGTCAGTGCGTCAGTATGTCTGTTAGTGCATGTGTATGCATGTGTCAGTATATCTGTCTGTGTGCCAGTATGTCTGTGTGTGTGTGTGTGTCAGTATATCAGTCTGTGTGTATCAGTGTTTCTCAGTGTATGTGGGTGTCAGTATATTTGTCAGTATTTCTGTCAGTGTATGTGTGTCAGTATGTTGATCAGTGTATGTGTCTGTGTGTGTGTGTCAGTATGTCGGTATATGTGTCTGTGTGTCAGTATGTCTGTATATGTGCCTGTGTCAGTATGTCTGTCAGTACCAGTGTATGTGTCTGTGTGTGTGTCAATATATGTACCTGTGTCAGTGTGTCTGTCAGTGTATGTGCCTGTTTATCTGTATGTAGTCAGTGTATGTATCTGTGTATCTGCTTGTGCGTCAGAGTGTGTACCTGTGCATCTGAGCCGCAACTTTAAATACAAATACACCCTCCATTCAAACTTCAACACTACATATAAAACACACTCCTGCATTGAAACGTCAACACTACATACAAGCACACTCCTACATTCAAAAACAAACACTACACATAAATGCACACTTGCATTCAAACTCCAGTACCACATACAAACACATTCACACAAACATACTCCATACAAACACATGCTTACATTCAAACATACTAACATGGCTCAGTGCTAAATACAACCCTGCAAGCATGGGAAATTGGTAGAGTCCCAGCTGTCAAAGCATTGTTGGAGTTGCACGACAGATGGGGTTCTACCTTTAGTCCAACCTTGCAATTGGGGGTCCCAATAAAATTCATTCTATGTTAGTACCGCCACTGCGTTGGGATGGATGCCGTGATTGCATACCAGGGCGTGAGGGCGAGAGCGGCAGGGCACAGGGGGCCCAAGCAAACACTTGCCCAGGGTCCATTCGTAATTAAAGATGGCCCTGACTGTGAATAATCCTTTTTTGGTACCAATTGACAGCATCATGGATAACCACAAAATCTAAAGCATTTCATACACATAAGTGAACTTAATTTACTTAATGGACCACTATAGGCATCCAGACCACTTCAGCTCTTTGAAGTGGTCTGGGTGCCAGGTCACTCTAGTTTTAACACTGCAGCTAAAAACATAGCAGTTTCAGAGAAACTGCTATGTTTCACTGAGGGTTCATGCAGCCTTTAGTGGCTGTCTCACTTACAACCGTTGGAGGCGCTTCCGCGATTCTCACTGTAAAAATCACAGTGAGAAGACGCTTGACGTCCATAGGAAAGCACTGAGTAATGCTTTCCTATGGGCGGTTTGAATGCGCACACAAGCTGACATCGGCAGAGGGAGGAGAGTTCCCCAGCGCCGAAGTTAAAACCCCTTCAGCCCAGTGGGAGGGTGGCCACAAGGGTGGAGGGGACCTATTGACCCTATAGTGCCAGGAAAATTAGTTTAACTAGTTCTATAGTGGACCTTTAATAAGTAAAGAAAGCATATATTCTATCAACCTGACAATAAAATAGTAATCAAAAGAAGATAGCCATCCAATAAAGACTGTGCCATTCCACTAGAGTAGTCAGAGAAGAATAGGATGGACTAGAGCAGCCATCAAAAAAATCCTACAACAACTATAATAATCCATACAAAATGCAAGCAGCAATTATCTAAGAACATAATTACCATATTGCAGAAGGAAAAAATGTGCTATGAATAGCCCTCTTTTATGGAACATCAATGTCTTTGCACCTTATTTGGAGTTTAATCTGTTATGTGCATTATCTTATAATAAATAAAAAATACATGACTATTAAGAGTTTCTGGGGAGAAAGAAAGAGGAAAACGTGAGAAAGGAGAGAAAGGAAGAAAGATGAATTTGTAGTGTAGGATTCAACTAAGAAGTTTTGTCTTAATGTGGCAGGTGAGCTTATACTTAAATGGCCATTGGAGTTACACTTAAAAACCTCCAGTTATTTAACTGTTCATATGGATTTGGGAAAAAATCCTTATTTTCTCACTTTTTTTTAAATTGTATTCATAATAAATTAT